TCCGGGAAAAAATGCACTTTCAGTGTAATGGAGCAGGCTAGTAGTGGAATATGTATGTTATGGCTTAACAATATTATGCCAGTTTGTAGGCGTACACCAAAATAATGACAGCTGAGCTTGTTGCCATAGATACATACAAGTATGTATGTGTACATACATAGGTTGGTATGTAAAACTATGTACGAGTAGTATTTTATGCAATGGAAAAGCAAAAACGAACTAAGTGTATTCAAAACAAATACAGACACATTCTGTCGCACGATCTGGCTGGTCAGTGGGGCAAACTTGTTTGGCTAGTCCATGGCTTATGCATTGGGAGCGACCATAGTTGACGCTGATTTTGTCAGGGTTTATGTTGTTTATCTGTTCTCTGAGCGGTCGTTAAATAAACGAACTCGTATATGCATTAGCTGGCACTTTAAATGCATTTAGAAGACCATTTTATTTATGCATTTTCTCATTTCAAATGTACTTCTCTACTCGTTTGGCTATGCGATTTAAGAAAAAAAAGACAATACCAAGCAAATCAACAATTTAGTGTCGCACAAACAAATTTTTATGTTTATTGTTTTATTAGGCAGCAGCAGCTTAAAGAACAATAGACTGAAACGTGCTTTAAAAGCGCAGAAGAAAACATGTTGACTTAATTTTTTTTTTGATATTATTTTTGTTTTTTGTACGATTGATATCTGTTGCTCCAGATCTGGAAAAAATGTAGCGACAAACTTGAAGTCGGTTTGAAATCGTGGCATGTGAGAATTCTCAATGGAAAAGCGACCGCGGCAGCAAGCAGTGAGACAAAGACAATCGAATATAACACTATTTTTTCTTTTTATATTTATTTTGAAACCAATCTCAACATTGCTGTGGTTAGTTGGTGCCTCTTTTTTTTATATATTTTTCATCATGCATATAATATCTATCTATCTACTTGTCATGCCAACTAGTCGACTTGTTGGGTAAGCTGCTCAACGCGCAGAATCTGTTGGAATCAACCTCGTAGTCTAACGGCATTTGCATTTTTGTGGATTCATTTTAGTTAACCGTTATGTGTTTAACATATTTTTCAAATTCTCCTGCACTTCATTGTTATGCAGATCGAATAAGCTGCAAATTAGTGGCTAATATTTGCGCAAACATGATGCTTTCGACGCATACTAAAGAATCGAAATCATTAGCTTATATGTATACTAATTTATAGTATATGTATATTTTGCATATAAGCAGAAAATATCCAAATATTCTAAACTTTCAAGGTTACTGCAGACTGTGTATGTGTGAGTTTGTTTATTTCGACTCGATCGCCTTTGTTTAGCCATGCTTTTACTTGTATGTAGTGGAAAGGTAAGTTAAAAAATAATATGAAGTTCTTGCTCATGGCTTTAATTATAAATTATTTTTATTCATGCCAATTAAAGTCAAATGTCAGGCACACCCATTTATTTATAATGCTGAATAATACACTAAAAATATGCATAATCGTTTGCTTGCTCTGGCCAGACCAAACGATCAGAATTTTTTAGAATTTTGCTCAAAATATAATAATAATAGTATTTGGAAAAGTATTAAGGTGTTGATGATTTCATAAACTCAAATATTTGTAATAAAGCAATTAACCTCAAGGCCGTTTGCTTTCAGAACATAGTTTGGCAAACTCTTTGGTTAATTAGAATTAGCATGGAAAGTTAAAGTATTTCAAAATTTCAATTTTAATTAATTTTATTTATTTATTTAGCAGACACATAATTAATTATCAGTCGAGTTTCTAACTACTTGAAGCTGGAAATGATTCGATGAAAAGTGGAACTGTAGCCTTTTTAGCCTAAATGGAGAATTAATGAAGTAGTAATGGATATTTATTTTAGTTTTTGTCTCATAAATTAAGTTTTATTGGAAAAGGTCTGAAAATAAACTGCCTTCGTTTGAGTTAATCAACAATTTTCGATTGAGAAGATTAAAACATTTAGAAAATAGAAGAATTTAGCTCCTTAACTAAGTTATTGGAATCAGTGTTGGCTTACTCGTAACATCCACATGAGCAGTGAAATGGAAATAATTAAGGCTGTGCGCAACACGTGTATAATCTTGGAGAATCATCATTACTGCATTACAGATGATCAGATGATATCTAGAACAATGCTGCCCCCTTTTCTGGACTAGCACACACATTTCAATGTTGCAACTGACGAAAGATTCAGATCTAAAAAATCGCTTATAGTAGCGCCGCCACCGCTGCCGCCACCGCCACCGGTTTTCTCACACAATTTACTTTGTGTGTTATTTTTGTGAGCATTCGCCATTATCTGTCGACTACTCGTACTTTTTTAAAGTAGTTCAGCTGCACAATTGCCGCACACGCATTATTCAAAATATTTTCCTAACCCTCTTGGTTAATGATGGGAGCATAGTTAAACAATTTGCAAGTGCAATTGTTTGCGTAATTAATCACAAGACGAACAAAGCAGCTGAAAACATTGAAAATTGTTGCCACAAAGCAAACACTTTCGGTTTCAGTCGAGTTATCCATTTCACAATGACGCGGCACATTTGTGGACCACTGCGTCGCGTCGGGACTTTGGAATTGGAATTCTTAATGGTTTGTCGGTATGTTAGTCGGTTAGTCGGTTGATAGGTCGACTCTGGCTCCATGCACGCGTCCGATTATGTAAATCGCAATAGACAGGCAGATGGACACCTACGCCAACAGACGGACCTCGGGACCGCCGCTTTTCGTGACCCGTGGGGCTGAACAAAAGGCGAGTAAAAGGCTCACGAACAATGGGGCCAACACCAAAACCAACTCCAACTCCAACCACAACTCCAACTGGTTTTTAATTTTTATTGCAAATTCGCTATTGAAAGGGTGTTCGCCTGTGCAATTTACGTTTTCGTGGAAGTGCCACTGCGAGTACCACAACAATGACGTGGTCGCCGCTTCCTTTTTTTTTTCCTGGCTGTCCCCCCTGTAGCCTTAGCGGACTCTTGTGGGCGTCGGAGTGCCTAATTAAATCATTTGTTGCACGTGTAGCAGGGCCTGCCGGCCTGCCGGCCTGCCGGCCTGACTAACAGCCGCAATTTCCAGGCAAATTGTCAGATAGAGCAAGGCGGCTAGAGTTTCGTGTTTACATTCCCATGGCTAAGTTGCTTCAGCAACAACAACGAAATCAATAGCTCTTTAGTTGCCTCTTGCGTTTTCTAGTCTCTGTGTGCCACTGCTCTGAAACTGAAGTAGCGCGGTGGTAAGCTTCCCTCGATTAACTTTCCCTGAAGCAGTACAAATGCGGTGCCAATTCGCCCTTCTGCCGATCCCTCCCCTCGATGCGTTAGTGGCGCAGCATCAGCTGATTGGGATTTGTGTGCCATGTCTGTGCGACCACAAAATGTGACTTAGCATGAACTAAATACCTAAAGCACCTCAGACTACAATTATATAACGTTGCCGCGGCCAAATCAGAGCACAAAGCATTGACTCTGAGGCACCTTTTTAGCGGCAAAAACTCACAAAACCAAAAAAAAAAAAAAAAAAAACAAAAAACAAATCCGTGCAGTAAGCAGCATGCAGCATTCAACAGTTATATCACATTTCTCTTCTAGTTTTTGCTGAACGCTGCCAGCCAAATTACAACAAAAAACGACAAGGGAACAAACAACAACAGAGCGGCAAAAATTGGTTGTCGCTGTCACATTTGCTGCTGCCTCCTGCCGCTCGTATTTGCCAATGGTGGAGCCGCAGCAACAGCCACTCATGCAACACCACAGCAGACGCTGAGTCGAGCCTATCATTAACCCTTTGCTACCCAGAATGGTGTCTGGAAAGGGTTTACAATGAATATATCAACTACTTCTAGTGAAACTTATTCTTCATGTATTCTCAATTCATTTAATTAAACTGTTTCACAAATAATTTAAGAAAATCCTTACATCGTAAAAAATAATTTTAAATATTTTAGTGCCACATAATTTAACGAATAATTATTTGGTTTATGAAAAAAGTCCAATGCCACAAATATTTGTATACGTTTATTAATGTAATTACAAAATATTTAATTGGATTTCGCAGGTCTTTGATTGTCTTATTCCATTGCTTTGGTGTGGCTAAAAAATATTTAAATCGCTTCACTAGTTTGAGATAAAAAATAATTAAAAAACATTCATATTGTAAAATCCTTTAAAATCGTAAAATTCACAGGTCCGTAGTAGAAACGATGAATCAAATTATGTAAAAATGTATTTGTATGGCATATTGTATTCTCGCGTCTGTTCTCTGGACCAAGTGGTATTTATGTTGGCATTTATTTTATCAAAATATCTCAAAACAATCAAAAATGCTTTTAACAAATCTTTTTATTATATTTTGTGAAAATAAAAAGCAACAATATTTTGACATTTTCTTGATCAAAATACTTTCAAACTAAATGTAAATCATTAAAAAACAGTCTGTCTTGTCTATATCTAAACAAAAAAATTAAATTTTTTTGGCATTTATAGCTTTACAGTATCGCTCATTCCTTAATGTCTGAAAATATAGTTCACTTGATTCTGTTCATCTTAATAAAGTTATTGGACTTTATCCCAAAATACAAAAAGCGTTAAAATAATATGTTGATAAGGATTATTACACAATATTTTATTTGTTTAAAAGGAATATTCGTTATTTATTTATTGTTTAAATAAAGTAAGCAATTTTACTTTGTTTAATTGAGATAAATAGTTTACCTTTTAAAGCTCAAGTTAATATTACTTATAAGTCATAGACCGGACTGTACTGCTCCGATATGAAACGATTTCTCAAATTGTGGGAATTTCTTCAGGACCTGTTGGGTCATTGAGGGTTAAAGTGTGGCTGCTACTGTCATTGTTGCTATTATGGTTGTTCACAGACTCTGTTGTCTTGTGGCTGCTTGTTGAGTGGACTGCCACGGCTTCAATTTTTTTCTTCCTACTGTAAACAAAGTGGCAGTTACTAGTTCTCTCATTTGTACTAATGACCTAGTTCGTAGATCTAGCTCGTAAGATGAACTACGATAACTGCGTTATCGATATCAATCAATTACTATATACTCAGTTGTGCTTGTGTGGTCGCCAGAGGCGGACAGCAAACGGAGTTCATTTAGAAATACCTAACAGTGAATGTATAAATGTATATATTAAACAACATTGTAAAATAAGCACACAATTAATAAACTATATTACACTATATTACAATTCAGATGTGGGGTGAAGCCACAGCCCTCTGTTAAGTTAATGAAGTATACCGAAATTATAAAGCTAAATAAAGAAGAACTGTGCGCGTTGTTAACCGAAAGAGGTGTACGCTTAGATAACGGTGCCTCAATTTACCAACTGCGCACAGCGGTAAAAACAGTGATGGATGAGGAGAGGGAAAGAGCACAAACTGAATGCAAGACCCAGAATTTGGTAGAAATTACCTCTGTACAGCCGCATGAAATTAATATCGAGTCAAATCACGTTGAAGGCGAAATCAATGCAGACACAATTATGAAGAAATGTGGCGCCATGGTGGTATGCGACGACGCTTCGAAATTTTGCAACGCCGTTCAAACCGTGGAGGCGGCTGAGAAGCGTGATTTTGAAGAAGACAAAATGGCGGAGTTGCAGCGTGTTGAAGTAGGAATGAGTCACCTTTCTGTGGAATCAAGAGCGTCCAGTGTTGCTGAAATTTATCCTAGCCGTATCGATATAAAAGACTTGGAAGCGGTCGTGCAAGCATTCTCTGGCGATGATAATTTGCCCGTTCGTTTATGGATTGTCGAATTTGAGACTGCTTGTAGCATGCTTGGAGTGCCAGATGAACGTTTGTGGATCTATGCAAAGCGTTTATTGAGTGGATCGGCAAAAGAATATTTCCTCCATCAAGGAGCCATACCGTGGGGCGATTTACGTAAGCAGCTTATGGATGTATTTGGGGAGGAGTGCACGCGCTTGGAGATTGGCGAGCAGTTAAAAAAATGCAAGCAAGCTAAAGACGAATCGGCTTTTCATTATTTTATAAGAATGTGCAGTATTGCGCGTCAAGCCGATTTGGAAGATTGCGACGTCATCAAACACATTGTGTGTGGCTTGCGCGATGGAGTTGGTATTACGTCATCGTTGTTCTTTTGTCAGACCCTAAAAGAGCTACGTCAGAAAGTGATCCAGCTCGACAAAATCCGGCCGTTGGTGTTATTGAACGAAGCAGGCTCTACGAATAAAGCTACAGTACGTGAAGTCCGCTGCTACAACTGCCGTCAGATGGGTCACATATCGACTGAGTGTAAGAAGCCGAAACGTCCAATCGATGGATGTTTCACTTGCGGGGAGAGAGGCCATCAGCATCGGGACTGCCCGAAACGCCGTATGAAAGATACAGTTGCCGCTACTGCAGAGCTGGTAAAGGAAGAAGACGATGTGGCAGCCATACAATTAGTGAGTTTTTGTTTGTTAAGTAGTAAATGTGGATGCACAGATTTTACAACAATTCTTTCTCTTTTTGATACTGGCAGCCCAGTTAGTTTTATATATAAATCCGTAGTACCAAATGATTTTGTATTGGAAAATCCATTTATGAAGAAATATCATGGACTGGGAGGAACCCAACTTTCTGTTTGCGGACAAGTGAAATCCCGTATTAAATTTAATGGAAAATATTATGAAATTTTACTTTTAGTTATAGATAATGGTAGACTACCAACACAGTTAGTGCTTGGGAGAGATGCCCTCAGTATCCTCCAAGTTCGATTAATACAAAACAATGTTAAAGCTGTAAATCAGAATGTCATTAAATGTGAATATAAATCCTTCTGTGCATCCCTGTTTAAGAACATATCTAAAAATAATGTAGCCTGTAACAATTCAGTAATTAAGTTTGTAAAAAACAGTTATTTGTATAACCGTTGGTTGTTGGAGCTGCATGATGTATGTGCCGGAGTGGCGGCAATAGTGGACGAAAAGGTTGATGTTGGCTGCGAATTTGGTTTGAATAGAGCTGAACAGTGTAGAGATCTTATTTATAATAATTATATAAATTCTTGGAGTAATACAATGATTGAACCGATAGGAAAAATAAGCATCCGATTAACTAATAGTACCCCTTTTAGCTTTGGTCCGAGACGACTTTCATTTTATGAGAAGGGCAAAGTTTCAGAAATAATTGAGGAATTAATGGCATTAGGAGTAATTAGACCAAGTAATTCACCGTATGCATCTCCAATTGTACTCGTTAAAAAGAAATCCGGTGAAATACGTATGTGCGTTGATTATAGATGCTTAAATAAGCTAACAGTTCGTGATAATTTTCCTCTGCCGTTAATTGAGGACTGCCTAGAATATTTGGAAGGAAAGACATACTTTTCGGTGATTGACCTCAAAAGCGGATTTCACCAAATAGGAGTAAATGAAGATTCAATTAAGTATACAGCCTTTGTAACTCCACAGGGACAGTATGAGTATCTCAGAATGCCGTTTGGATTAAAAAATGGCCCCTCAGTTTTTCAAAGATTCATTTCAAACACTTTAAATGATTTAGTTCGAAACAATAAAATTGTGGTCTTTATGGATGATATTGTAGTGGCAACAACAAGTATAGCAGAACACTTTGATACACTGACTAAATTGCTTCGCCGGTTGAGTGAAAACAGATTAGAAATTAACTTTAAAAAGAGTAAATTTTTTAGGAAAACCATCGACTACTTAGGCTATAGTGTGAGCAGAAGTGGAGTCTTGCCGAACGACACCCATATACAAGCAATAAAAAATTATCCAATACCAACAAATGTACGAGAGTTGCACTCTTGTATAGGGTTGTTTTCATACTTTCGCCGTTTCGTCCAATCATTTGCAAGTATTTGTAAACCGCTAGTAGAATTATTAAAAAATAAGGGACCTTTTCCAATGCAGGGAACAGAAATGGCAGCATTTGAAAAATTAAAGGCTCTTTTGTCCACACCGCCAGTTCTTGCAATTTACAGCCCGAAACGGGAAACTGAACTTCATACGGATGCAAGTTCAAGAGGCTTTGGTGCGATATTGTTTCAGAAGCAGGATGATAATAGAATGCACCCAGTATATTTCTATTCTCTTAAGGCATCTGCAGATGAAGCACGAATGACCAGTTTTAAGCTTGAAACCTTAGCAATAATATATGCATTAAGGCGTTTCCGAGTTTATCTTGAACATAGACCGTTTAAAATTGTAACAGATTGTAACGCACTAGCCTGTACCCTAGAAAAAAAGGAGGTGAACCCACAAATAGGCCGATGGGTACTCGAATTACAAAACTACCCGATAGAATGTCTAGTACATCGGCCAGGAAGTAGTATGCCACATGTTGATGCCTTGAGTAGGCAGACTCAGTTTATTATAAACGATGATGAAAGATTGCCAGTAGAACCGTGTGTTTTGCCAAGTCAGGTAGATACCAAGCCTGGCCCCATGAATATTAGTAAGTCAGGTGTAGAGCTATTAAATGTTATTCAAAGTTTTGGAAGACATGTTGTCGAGCAGATAGAGGAAGGTAACCCGCTTGATAACCGGATAGAAAACCCGTTGGATAAACCGTTAGATAGGCCGGGGCAAAGTTTCGCGGTCAGTAATAGTGAAGAAAAGAATCCGTTAGAAAATAGCAATAATGAAATCGTTCATGGTACATATCCGTTAAAATGCGTAGATTCAGAGTGTGTTGGTGTAGTCGGTGCGAGTTCAGAGGATATGGATCTATTATTACAAACTGAGCAGATGAGAGACAAGGCTATTAATGAGTTAAGAGAAGAGTTAGAGAATCACCCTGTTGATAATTATGCATTAATAGATGGAGCAGTTTATCGTGTAAACGCAAGTAATGAATTAGCGCTTTACGTTCCGTTAAGTATGCAGGAGCAGTTAATTAGAATGAGCCATGAGAAACTTGGACATTTAGCCGCCGAAAAATGCTATAACGATATGAAATCAAAGTACTGGTTCCCATTAATGAGGAGTAAAATAGAAGAGTTTGTAAGGAATTGTTTACGATGTATATTGCATTCTGTCCCGAAGACAGTAAACAACCGAACACTACACAGTATCCCAAAAGCACCTGTCCCTTTCGATACGATACATATAGACCATTTAGGCCCACTTCCTAGTATTAAATCAAAGCAAAAACACTTGTTGGTGGTGATAGACGCATTTACCAAATTCGTAAAATTATATCCAGTAAACTCGACGAGTACAAAGGAAGTTAACGCTTGTTTGAAAAAATACTTCGACTATTACAGTCGCCCCCGCCGAATAATTTCAGACCGCGGAAGTTGTTTCACGTCAATGGCTTTTACTGAGTTTTTGTCTGAACGAAATATTGGACATATTAAGGTAGCAACTGCTGCTCCTCAAGCAAATGGGCAGGTAGAACGGGTAAACCGCGTAATAACGCCTATGTTGGGAAAGTTGTCAAATCCGTTAAATCAAGAAGATTGGTACAAGTTAGTTAATAGGGTGGAATTCGCCATTAACAATTCGGTTCATAGCAGTACAAATAAAACCCCTAGTTTACTTTTATTCGGAGTTAATCAGAGAGGCGCCATGATAGATGATTTATCGGAATATCTAGAGGAAAAATTTACTACAAATAATCAAAATAATCTCGAAGAAATAAGACAAGAAGCTAGTCGAAAAATAACGCAGTCACAGGTTAGGAACGAAAAAATTAGTGTATTGAAAAACAAGCCGCCGTTAAGTTATAAGTGTGGAGATTACGTAGCCATTCGTAACGTTGATGTAACTACAGGCACATGCAAAAAGTTCGCTCCAAAGTACCGCGGGCCATATAAGATAAGCCGTGTTTTTGAAAATGATAGATATGAAGTTACTGATATAGATAATTGTCAATTAACACAAATACCATATAAAGGAATTTTAGAACCGGCCAGATTAAAACCTTGGACACAAATATTAAATAAGACAATTTCTGTATGTTTTTGACCGAGATCGAGGTCGATCTGTTTGTCAGGTTGGCCGAGTTGTAAACAAAGTGGCAGTTACTAGTTCTCTCATTTGTACTAATGACCTAGTTCGTAGATCTAGCTCGTAAGATGAACTACGATAACTGCGTTATCGATATCAATCAATTACTATATACTCAGTTGTGCTTGTGTGGTCGCCAGAGGCGGACAGCAAACGGAGTTCATTTAGAAATACCTAACAGTGAATGTATAAATGTATATATTAAACAACATTGTAAAATAAGCACACAATTAATAAACTATATTACACTATATTACACTACTTAAGTTTTTATGTGTCTATTTGCTTTGTTTGCAGTATGAAATCGCATATTAATAAGCTTTTATGTGCTATCAAAAATTATTAACCGTTCAGATACTCGTATCTAATTAAGGTTACAGATTAAAGATTGCAACAGAAATTATAGCTAAGATAGATTTTCGTTTATTTGAGACGCTTGAATGCTAGTTGAATGTTAATTGAAGCGCTTTTTGACATTCAGTTTTGGAATTTGTTCATCGAAATGGCGCGTGTCGGCGCAAAATATTGGAAAAAAAAATGTGGTGTTGTTGTGCCTAAGGCTCTGGGTGACATTTCGTGAGCACACTGTAAATTGTTGATAGAAGAAGCCGTAAAATTATCTAGTTGGCAGCTGCGAGCTGAAGTCAATACTGGCCAGCAACAAATGGATTGCAATTTTGAGCCATGTAAGTCTGCTTTCGCCTTTTGAATGTAAATCTATCTCAAAATATAATTGTTTTCATTATTAGCATATTATGGTCATTATTATTACTATATTCAAAGCATAGGGCTTAAGTTTTTATTTAAAAGACTTTTGAAAAGTCAACAGATTTAGTTTGCTTTTGGACTTCATTTAAACGACTTACAAACTACAATGCTTGTTATTTGTTATGCAACAAATCCTTTCTAGGCAATTTAAATGTGTTTTATTTATCGGCATGTGAAAGTAAAGAGTTTAAAAAAACAGCAACAACAACATATAAGCACTATTGATTTCAGCCCATTGTAGGAGATTTTCAAAAGAATTTTGACTCTCAGCTCTGTGGCATTTGAAAGAGTTAACGGTTTGATTTTGACGTCAATGCCGCGCCTTCGCCGCTGATTGAAGTCGTCTTACGGTCATTTTTTTTTTTTTCTTTGGTTTTTTTGTGTTAAGTCTAATGACATAATAAAGTTATTTAATGCGGCTTTATACTAAATGTGGTTGCTGTTTCCGGCCCAGTTGCGAAAAGCCGCCAATAAAATTGAAAGTGCCAAAACTGCTGAATGCCTTGAATATGAAATGCACGTAATGTGAAATGGTTTTTGTTTCTGTTGTTGTCCATAAGTACTATACATATTACCTTGGCTTTTCATAGACTTGTACTTTTGATTGCACATTTTGGGGTTTGTTGTTGTTGCTTAGCTGAAATGTCAAGATTTCCGTTTGGCAGCTACAAGTTATGAGACAATGGCAAGAACGAGCCCAAAATAGTTCCCAAAGAGCTTTGAAAATCGGTCCAATATGGAGTTCTTTGGGCGATTTTCAAGCTTATTTCTAGTATGTTACAAAAGCCCAAAGATATATAAAAGGCATGGCTGCATTTATGTATGTATGTATATTATTGAGTGTTAAATTCACATTCATGCCACTTTGTCTACAAAGTTGTACGTGTGTGTACGGGTGTGTGTGTGTGTGTGTGTGTGTGTGTGTGGCCGTGTTGCGGCCAAAGCCAAAGTAAATGTTTATTAAGTTGGTTTAGGTACGCGCTCGTTGGCCTGGCCTGCGGTCTACTTTATAACTTTTTTCATTGGCCGCTAAGTTT